GCCCTCATCCCTTCCTATCTCTAAGCTGTTATCGCAGAAGGCAACGAGCTCCTATTCCTATTCTGCGCTGCAATCGATCTCTCTTACCAGTGCGATCGATCTGAGCCATCCGTTGGTATTGATTGAATTGATTGGCCATCTGACCAATCAATTCAATCAATACCAACTTTAATCAATCAGTCTTGATTGGTGATTGGATTTTGATTGAATTGATTGGTTTTTGTCGGTATTGGTCAAAGTGCTCTGATTAACCAGTATTGGTTGGATTGATTGAATTAATCGATCAAAGTGCTCTGATTAATCAGGACTGATTGGATTAGAATCATTAGATTGGTCTGACTCAAAAAATGGTCATCTAACTTTCTGGCAAATGGTCATCAGTCCAATCAATCAACGGAAACGGAATGGCAGAATGAAGTGTGATGGCTGACTGTGGATATTGATTAATAGCCTTCTTCTTCTTCTTCTTCTTCTTCTTCTCCTTCTTCTTCTTCTTCTTCTTCTTCTTCTTCTTTTGATGGCCTTCTAATGAGTGCACCAAGGCAGGCATGCTGTCAGACAACCACAAAAAAATGCTGTTTTTTTTTTGTTTTTTTTTTTCCCGCCGCCCTTTCTTTCCTTTGTTTTGCCTGTGCACCCGGTGATCATCGTAGATTGCGTCCAGTGGGACTCTGGTACGTGATGACCACACCGCCAAGGGTGCCAGCCTGTGGGCCTCGTGATTGCTGACAGCAGTGCTGGCGGAATCCCCCACCCAAGGTCATGGCGGGTGGAACCCAGAGGGACCAATGGGACTTGCATGGTTATGATGAAATGGGTGGAACCCAGTTGTCCCAATGGGACTGGGATGGTTAAATGGGTGGAACCCAGTTGTCCCAATGGGACTTGCAGACTCATGGTGGGTGTAACCTTGTGGGACCAATGGGACTGGGATGGTTATGATGAAATGGGTGGAACCCAAACCAATGGGACTTGCATGGTCATGGCAGGTGGAACCCAGAGGGACCAATGGGACTTGCATGGTGAAGTGGGTGGTGCCCAGTTAGACCATTGGCAATGGGACTTGCGTCGTCTGGTGAAATCCGTGGAACCCAGTGGGACCTACCGGACTTGCATTGTGCAATCAAGTCATTATAGTAGATGTCATGTGATTGATGAATGATCAGTGCCCTCGGAGGGTGGCTGCTTGGGCCCGGGTATCATGTCGTCCCCCCTCGAGTGTCGCAGCTAGGGGTACCTACCATGTGGGCCTCATTAAGGGCGGCAGCGCGGATTACCCCCGGCCCCCGTAAGGGTGGCATCCTCTCCAATTTGCAGCAATAGAGGGGGGCACCCTGTGGGACCAACCAACTAAGGTCCACTGGGACTCAGTGGGTGGGACCGACTGGAACCCAGTGGTCATTGGCACTGGAATGCAGGGTGATCTTTAGGTGGCCATGGAGGACGGCGACGGGGGTCCTTGTCCTTCGGCAGAGTATATGCTGGCTGGGATTTTCCCAAGCCAGCACATACTCTGCCGAAGGACAAGGACCCCTGGCCAAGGGGGGAGGGCATAGGAGAAATGGAATCATCACTCCTATCTGTCGGTGCAGCAGGGTTCAAAAAA